TCTATCCCCAAAAGCCACACATTATACCATTCTTTTTGTATGAAATATCCAGAAGAGGAAAGTCCACAGAGTTAGAAAGTGGATTACTGCTGACCTGGAACCGATGGTTGGGGTGAAATGTGCAGTAACTGCTAATGGGTGCACAGTTTGTTTTTGGTGCAGTGAAAGGACTCTAGAATTGATTGTGTGATTGTTGCAAAATCCTGCAAATATACTAAAAGCCACTGAACTGTACACTTTAAAGCAGTGAACTGTATGTATGTGAATAACACCTAAATAAAACTGCTATTAAAAAACTAAAATAAAACAGTCCTTAAGGAAACTCCTGTTATTTCATTTCTGTATACTAAGGCAGCCCATATTAGACTTCTCTAGGGCTTAAGGAAGGTAGGTATCAAGAGAAATTAGGAACTTTTTCACTTTTTACTGGTAGCTCCACAAAGACCAAAGGGCCAATTTGTTATCTGCAGGAACAAGTGAATGGAAGCATCAGTTAAAATCCACAACTAAAAAAATAAAAAGCAAGAGCCCTGGGGGTGTGTTTAGACACACATGTGTAGGCAACACAGATATTCCTAAAGGCCAAGTGTAGTTACACGATATCATTTAGAAGGGTCACATGTACATCTGCATCTGCTTTGTAACTAATTCGAAAAAGTGATGGAGATCATGTACCATCTTATTAAGCAATTTTTCAGGTCTGGAGTCTTGAAGTTGCTCCACTCAATTTGTTCCATGGATGGACTCTTTTATTGAATAATGGATTATAACCCACCCCAGGCTCCTGCCCTAGGTAGGCAGGCTGTGGCCAGGCAAGCTTTCCTGTTCCACTGCTCATAGGTACCACATTGTGCCCAGGGAGCAGCTCTTACCCCTTGGCGGAAGGGTCTTTCTCACCAGCTGGCCTCTTGCATGGAGGACAGAGGTGTGCAGGACAGGTGGGATGGAAAGAGACCCTTCTGGAAGATCCCCTCCAAGCACGGTGCAAATGGAGGGGTCTTGCAAATGGAGCAAGCGTGAGCCCAACAGAAGACAGCAAGCACTCTTTATCTAAACACAAGGCTGAGATGTGCAGAGGGTAAGTGAAATTATGGTTCAGTTTTGAATGCCATCTACTGAAGATGAACTCTCCCTTCAAAGGAGTTACTCATCTCACTCCATCATGATACCTCGGGTTGATCAGTATTCAAATTTATTAAGCCATGACAGGCAGAATGTGTGCTACCAGGGACCTCTTTCATCGCGCCATTCCCCCAAGCTATTTTTTCTTTTTTCTTTTTTCTTTTTGCTTAGTCATAAGAAGTCTAGCAAGTTAACAATCAAAACAAAAACCAATGAGTACACAAATACATCACAAAAGATAGGGAGGAGGTGGGGGAAAACTCTTCGTGGAAGTTGCTACAAGGCGGGTAGCATCAGAAAGGAAAAGCACGATCTCTGACTAATATGAAGGAGACTCCAAATTGCCCTTGGCAACAATTTCTCAACCTGATTCCCCTCCTTCTATTCATCTCTGCAGTTCCTAGCCAAAGGAAAATAAACTGAACAGCCCTCTCCCTGGCCTAACCTAAAGGGCTGCACGGCTGGGCACGAGCTACACAAACAAACACCCTGGTGCAATTATACACCTGTGTAACTGCTGTAAACGCAGGGTTGCCAGCAGGGTGCTTGCCACCCTTAAGCTGATCATCAGGAGTATTAAGGGAAAAATGCCTTTATTCTGGCAGCATGACATCAAAATGGAATGCAACGCAATTCTGTGACCTCAAATCCAAGAACTTTTTAATCTATTAAAAAAAGAGAAAGAATGAAAACATATTCTCCTGGTAAGAGCTGGTATCATCTTTGGAGAAGGAAGCTCCCAGAGCACCATCCAGCCAGACAAGAACTTCAAGGAAGATTTACCTGTTCACAGTCCTTACAGAAGTGACCGTTAATGTTAGTGACCTATTATACCATTTGAGATGAAAGGAGAGTTAACAGGCCAGACATCCCAGAATATTTATGGCTGCTCTTTCTCAAACATCCACCTGACACCATTCTATTCAGACAGGCATATCAGTTAGCTAAAAGAGAGTGGGATTCAAGTCTCAGGAAATGGCAATGGAAGTGGAGAATAAACACTAAAAGAGCGGACAATAAACATAAAAGAGAATAAATTGTCTCTTATTTGAGGTCTGAAATTGCCCTGGCTGATCAGTGCGAGCTCCTCTGGGTCCCAGTCCTAGCTTTCTTAACAAATCTGTGACCAAGAACAAGCTCTCTCCAAGCTTGGAGCCATGAAAGAGCCTCTCAAGTATGAGAAGCTTCTAGCGACAGAGGGACATAGTTGGTATGTCTAGAGGGCAGTTCTTAGCCCAGCTAGCACTGCTCCAGAGAAAAGCCATGCTCTTAGAGATTGCATGTGTCTTTTGTCATCTAAAGCTTGTAAAAAAGAATCATCAAAACAGCATGGGCTTAAACTACTTCCTAGCTTTTGGGGCAGGGGCTGATTATGCTGTGTATTCTCCACAGTGTCCCCTTGAGGCAGGGACAAGTCATTGTAACTGTAGCATGAAGACAGCTCCATCCTCCTCTTCACCCAGACCACAAGCTACTACTTCTGTGGCAAAGCTTCTGTGGCACCTTCCCATGCACTGCCTTACTCTCTGTCCACTCAATCCTGGTGGGCATGTACATTTCCATTACTTCTCCTATTGACAGAGGCCAAGAATCGGCTCTGATTTCACTCCCTGATGGATACCCAGCACTTAGTATGACTGCTGGAAATGCACAGTAGGCAATACAATCATGCTGAATAACTGAGGGAGTGATTGAGTGGAAGGAAACTAAGGTTCAAAAAAGTTAATACTATGTACAACACTTACATACTATTTTGTGTTGTATTATAATTATACCAAAGTGGGTCTCATTTTTCCAATTACAGTGCAATGTTCTAGAAAGATGTGGAGTCTAATGGATAGCTTTGAATTCTGTCTCTGTCACTACCTGGACAGTTTACTTAATCCTTCTGAGCCCCACTTTCTTCATCTGCAAAGTACAGCTAATGATTTGTATCTGTCAGTTGGTGGGTTAGAGGAAATCATGTATGGTGCACAGGATTTAATCTCCGACACCCCCTCTTTTTCTGCCTCTATCTCCTCTCTGGTTCCCAGCACTCACTTAGCAGGACTAGCCTCATGCTAAGCAGCTTCCAGGTCTTTGTTCTCTAGGTCTTCCTCCTTCAAGTCCTTGTTCCAGTGTCACCTCCTTTTGAAGCCTTTCTTGAACTTCTAGCTGTCAAATGCCCCTTCTCACACCCCAAAGGAACTCTCCCAGAACCTTCTGGGGCCTGTATCTGCTCCCTGAGGAGCTGTGCTCTTTGCGCCTCTCTGCCAATGCCCCTGGGTGTGGAGTGGATCCTGCTCTAGCCCTGTGTGCATTTTCTAGCAGGGCTTAGTGGGGAATATATTTATTTTTATCAAATGCTGTCTCCTACACTGGAGGCCACAGGACACGGTTGGCCTTTGGGCCTAGCAATTCTGTGCAAGGCACCTTGGACTCCTCTGCTGCCTACTCTGGAACTTTGGGGCATGTACCTTGCTCTCTGGGGTTCCAGTTAGGTGGATGAGGATGGTGTGTTTGCCCCTGCATTTTGGGAGAGCTTAGGAAATAGTGCTAAGCACTACAAGAACACCGCATCTGCCCCCAATGACCATGAAGAAGGGCATAGCTTTTTTGGAGAAGAGTGGTTTTTGTTCCTGTTTAGTTTAAGGTGGGCTCTTAAGGAGACATGACAACAGCACTGGGGCTGCTTCTTTTCCTGAGAATTCACCCGGAAGAGCTTCCCAAGGCCTTTCTAAGCCTGGAAGAAGAGACAGAGGGAAGAGTGGTGCGGAACCCCACCCCACTCCACCTTATCACTTCCAATTCCAAAAATCTCTCTAACCTGGAGAAACTGCCTAGATGCTTCAATCATTTCCTTTAAATTTTTATAATTCCACATTTAGAGAGATTGAAAGTGACCTGCCACCCACTGGCAGCTGAAGCAAGGTTGTTCTTCCCAGAGCCAGGTACCAGAGGGCAGCCAGCCCCTGCCCATCCAACAGCAGGCACAGCCTCTCCCGGACAGCCCAGGGAAGGATCTGAACCAAATACCCCCCCCACCCCCACCCCCCCCCCGGGAGCCCTCAGCATGGGGCATCCAGACACTCATACTGGGCACCAACATTACCCGCAAGGGTCGGCGCAGGGCTGCCCAGTAACTCTTTCCAGTGTCCTTTCCAGGCCAGTCCCACAGCTGCTGCGCCCGCATCCCAGAACACGGACCACTGGACAGGGTGACGCAGACCCGCCAGACACTATCAGGGGTGGGGGCGTGCGGGCTTGGCGCCTATGCACTACTCGCAACGGCTGCCTTAGAGCTGCGAGGCCCCAGCTTGACTAGCCCGCGGGGCAAGTCCCTCTGCACCCTCAGGTCCCCCTCCAGCTCAGTTCAGCCCTGCAGAGCGCCCAGCTACTTCTGCCAATCCCCCTTTAATTTCTGCACACGTCTCTGGTCTCTAGACCGAGACTTCTGCCAAGTTGCCACGGCTTTTGCTTTCCCCAAGTTTTCCACGCTTGGGAGCGCCCACCTTTGGTCCTAACAATGTATATCTGCAACTGCCTCACGCTACCCCTGGCTCAGAAAGAGCTTGCCGACGTGGGCGCCAGGAAAGCAACAAGCGGCGAGTGTCACCGCAGAGTTCCAGGTTCTCTGCTCTCTTCCAGGTTGCCTTCTGCCAGGATGTGCGCCCCGCGCTCACGCCGCGGCTCCAGCCAGGAGCAGGCTTGGAACGTCTTGGACGCCACAGCTCCAGCCAGCCAGAGCTCGCCGGCGCTGCTCAGTGGTCCCCAAGGCGCCACCTAGCCTGTGGGTCCCCCGCGCACGGAGCGAGAATGGCTTCCTCCCAGCGGCCTCCCCATGCCGCGGCCAGGGGTTCCCGGGGCCCTGAATTCAGCTGAGGTCGTTGCAGACTCACCTGGCCGCTCTCGGGTCGCCGCACTGGTGCCCGGGCCGTGTCTTGAGCGCCGCCAGGGTCCCGGGCTGGGAATCCACGCAGCAGCGCTGCTCGGGGAGCCTGCCGCAGCCGGCGAGAGAGGTTGTCATTGATTCGCGCTGGGCGCGTTAAGCCATTCCAGGAGTGGTTTGGAGCGAGCACTCCCACCCCTCCCTCCAACCAGAAGTATTTGGCAGACAGCCCCCTTCCTCCACCTGTACTGTTAAGCTCCGGACAAGGACCGATTTCACCACTGGTGCTTTCTGCTTCCCTGTCGAACACGTAAATTAAGCTCTTTGGGAAGGGTAGAGCCGAAATGAAAGCAAGGGTGTTAAAGTTGTTTTTCTTTCCTCTTTTCTCCTGGGTCTCTCCACATCCCCCCACTCTTTTTCTATCTAATATTTCACAAAATGACTTGCTACTGAACTCAAGGGAAAGGAGGCTTTTTATTATTGTTTTAGTCAGTTCGGTGTTTGTCTTTTATTTTTAGAGGCAATTTTGTTTCCATTTGCCTGAAACCTGAGCCCAATAAAATTACTAGAATTATATGTTTTCTTCTTAAAGGGTCGTGATGGTAACTTAACCAATCAACTACTGCACAGCAACCATTCAAGTGATTTTTTAAAAAAGGAGGAGGAAGAGGAAAAGAAATAAAAGAGGAGGAGGAACAGGAGGACAGGAAAGGGAAGGAGGAGGAGGAGGAGGAAGGAGAGGAGGAGGAAGAGGAGGAGGGGAGACAGGTAATAAGCAAAGAACTCCAGTTCCTTGCTAACACTGGGGGCCCAGGGTGGGTGATGTGCCCTGAGGTGGGGACACCCACTGCCACCTCTCCCCTCCAGCAAACACACTTATCACACAGGCTGACTCAAATCCCAACCAGAGATTCCAACTGTCCACATTTGGGGTGGGTCAGCCACCAATCATTGAGAGGTGTGGCCAGCACCCTCTTCCCTAGCCTCTCCTTCAAACCACACACCACAGCTCTTTTGCAAACTGCCAGCTGGGAGGTTCTGGCCAGCCAGCTTGCTGGCACCGTCTGGCTACCTGAGAGATGTTGCCATTAACTCCTGAACAGCTGGCTGCCCTCAGCAAGGACAAGGAGCCAGGAAGAGAACTCCTTCTGGCTGACCAGCTACCTCTCCTGTGTTCCAGGGAGAATGAGCCCAGGAAATGGTGAGATACTTGGCCTTCCAAGACCTCTGCCACTCTTCCAGGGGCAGGCCTGGCTTAAAGCATCCCGAAGCCAAAGATACTTTCCAAGTTACACGGGTACCCCAAAGACCCAAGGTGAGGGCTTGTGATCTGCAGAGCCCCATAAAGATGATTTTTACTAAAATATCTCCTCCAACAGATGTCCCCTGCCTGAAATTTCAGTGTCAGTGATTCACGCCTTCTTTGGGCACACCCTGCAGGAAGCCTGCCCCATGGGGGTAGGCAAAGCTGCTCCAGGAAGGCTAGAAAGGTCTCTGTGGCTCCCTCTGAAGTTGTGAATTCTCATGGGGCTTGGGAGCAATTTTCATACCAGCCTGGAATGCATTTGTCAGCTCCTTTATGCTATGTAGGAAGGTCTAAGAGAGCAGAGTCAGGAGAGCGAGGCTGGGGGGGCTGGGGGAGCAATGGGGAGCATGCTAGACCAGGAACTGGGTGTTGGGAAGAAGTGAAACATTGTACTCTTCCATCAGAGTAGGTGGATAGTCTCCAAAATTAGATGACTGCATTGTTTTAAAAAAATGAAAACCCCTGTACTCCTGGAACACCCAAACCAAACAATGAAAACAAATCCTTTTGTCCACAAAGTCAGTAATTAAATATCTGATCAAGCATAACGCCATGTTACACTCCCTGACCCAGGCAGGATAAAGGTGCCAACACACGCCTGGATAGAGTCAGTATCAATCCTGAGGTGTTTGTTCTGTTGCCATAAGGGGCTTGCCTCACAACCTGCAGTGGGGGTGAGTGCAATGGGGTAGCACCCTTAGAGCTGTGTCTGTGGGGGGCCTGTGCACTGTGGGACAAAGTGCATTTAGCACCCTTCACTAAGGAGTGGGGTGCAACTTCTGCAGAGTGGACAGGAGCCCAAAGCAGTTGGTAAAGCAGGTTTAAGAAGACTGGTCTGCAAGAGGAGATAGGCCACACAGGCCCAGAAGTTTGTGCAGCTGTGCACAGATGGGCGTGTTGGGTGGAGGAGGGAAGGCAGGAGGTAGAGTCATGGGGCAAGTGGATAGCTGGCCTGGTTGAGAAGGTCCTCCCAATGTGTATAAAATCGGGGGGGGGGGTCTATGAGGTAGTCAGTTTATGGACACAGCTTCTGGCATGAGGAAGGGCCTGCTTTGGAGGGGAGGAAGAACTAGAGCACCTTTTCAAAGCCAGATGGGGTGGGATGTGGGCAGAGGGAATGTGGGGGAGGGCTAGCGCAAAAGGAGGGGGCCATGCAGGTCCAGCCTGCCCAGGCGGCCCCCTTTGCAGGCTCCAGCCTTGCTCTGGAGCAGTGTCTGGGTAGAGCAGTGGGTGGTGCCAGGGCCAATCATATTGCTGCCAAGAGCCTGGGGAGAATTGGCTGCTGTCCAGCCCACCCGCTGGGTCCTGCAGTGGACACTGAATGTCACTCTTCCCTCCCTCTTAATCACTGTGTGTGTGCCCTGCTGGGACACGCCCTTCGGAATGGCTGTGGGGGAAAAGTGGGAGCCCTGCCCCACTGCCCCCTTGTTCAGTGCCAGCTGCCTCCTGGGAACAAGAACATAAAGGAGCTGTCTCAGAGAGGGGTGCGGTGTGGACACGGGAACAGGGCGGCTCCGGAGCTTCCCACAGAAGAAACTCTGGGCAGGGGACTCTAGACCTGTGACTGTGCATTTCCTTCTGTGCCCCATTCCTTCTGAGGGCCCTTTGGCCCCCTCTCTCTTACCCTTCTCCTGGGCTCTTTCGTCACACAGCCCCACCTTTGCCTCCACCCTGGCTCCTGCCCTGCCTTCCTAGGTCTGGTCAGCCAGAGTGCTTGGAAGCAGGCTGGGTTCATGGGCACCCTGACTTCCACTGCTGGCCTCAAACCCCACTCCCTCTGCTCCAGTGAGGGGAAAGCTCCAGCTTCCACTGCAGGCATGGATCATAAGGCCATGCAGAAACACGGGAACAAACGTGCTACTGTTTTACTTTAAACCTGGGCAGGGCCTAGTTTTTGCTGTGATGTGGACACACAGGCTGCACAGGGCACATGTAGACACAGTGTGTGTGAGATTTACCCTCACTTAGCCCCTTCATCAACACTGGAAGGCACAGTCCATTATTTTCTCATCTTACTGATGAGAAACAGGCTCAGAGAGCTTTTAGAACTTGTTCACAGCTACTGCATGATACATCATAAAACTAGACGTTGTACCTTGATATTTGTGGATCTCATGCTCAGAGGCTCGCCTGGGAGTCCAGGCCTGCCTCTTGGTCTATTTTATACTACTGGTACCCTACGGCCTTGGCTTTGTCACTGTGTGCCTCAGTTTTTCTTTCTGCTGAACAGGGTAACACTTCTTACAGATATGAGGCAATCCTGTTAACCAGGAGGAGCTGAGGTGAAAGTCAGACTTCAGGAAAGCACTGTAGCAAGGCTTGCTAGAGAAAGAACTTAGCACTGGGAACAAGTGTCGCTCAAGCCTCAACAAAGCCATTCTTGCTATCTCCCTCTCCTTCTGGCTCCCCACTGGGCTTCCAGCCAAACCTCCCATCAGCAAGTGAGTTTCCACAATAGATCAAGAATCTCCCCTTCCTGCCACCTCCACCACCACTCCCAGGCCATGCCCCAAGGCCTCCCTCATTTTGACTTCTATAGATATCTCCTAACCCACCTCCTTGACCCACTTCTCTTCTTCTCCTCACCCTGGTGCCACATGCCTGCCCAAGCAATCCTCCTAAAGCACTCATCTGGGGCTAGGGTGTAGCTCAGTGGTAGAGCGCTTGCCTAGCGTGTTTGAGGCCCTGGATTCTGTCCCTAGCACTGAAAATACAAAATAAAACATGCATCAGATCATGTCACATCCTACTTGCAGCGCTCTTCAGACTGTTTATCATGACCCAAAAAGCACTGCAAAATCCCTGCTTCCCTCTCTAAAACTGCCTCCCTCCTAGGCCTATATTCTCTTCAGCCAGACACATGACATTCTCTATCATTTTAGCTGTGGAACTTGGCTTGCTTTGATTCTTTGGCCTGAAATGCTCACTCCTCACTTCAAGTGTGACAGAAACATCAATTCCTTGGAGAGTTCTTTCCAGACCACATCAATAAATTGGGACTTTGTCTTCCTGTTGTCTGTCTCAGGCCCTTGATCAAAGTACTCTTGCGTCTTGCATACTTTATTTTACTGCCTGATTCTATTGATTTTATTCTTTAACTATCCCTCTGTCTAGCATAGAACTTGCTGGGGGTAAGAACCTTGCTTGTCTTTTGTACGGTGTCATGCCAGGCCCTGGCTGATACATGTGGGATAGATGCTGATCAACTGAACCAGTGATCTGGGAAGCATACAGGCTGGGTCTAGTCTTGGCTTTGCTATTGGCAAACTGTGCACTTCTAGGTATGTTCTGTGAACTTGGTGGGGGTGTGTCTTGTGTCTCCAGATCCTTACCCTCATCTTATCTTCCTGGGAACCATGAGTAAGATGATGACCAAAGCCTTTCCAATGTCGATGTTCCACAAATTAGCTCTCATCCTCTGAGAAATTGCAGATGTTTATGACAAACAAGAAAAGAATCCTGGCCACAGTGCACTGGGTGCAGCTGGGAGAAGGCTTTGCTTCTGTTTGTTGGCCCTGTTGACTTTACAGCTTGGAGCCCTGAAGCCTTCTCACAGCTGTGATACAAAGGCTAGTGATGCCTCGTGGCATTCTTCTGCCACTGTTCCACAGCACAAGTGTGGAAACTGAGGCTCATCCAGAGACAGCAGTTGCTACCTCAGAAGATGATGTCTACCCAACACCCATTTCCCCGCAGTGTACCAGGTCCGAGGGCCTCGGACTTGCCATGGTGACAACTGCGATGCCCAGAGGCTTTCACTTCTGAGGAACCTTCTAACCCTATCATCAGCATTCACTATAGCCCTGAGAGTAGGTCTGGAAGGAATGTGTATCCCTTTTCAGACAGGAAACTGAGGCTCACATTAAAATGTGGGCCAGTAAGTGGCCAAGGGAAGACCTTTGAAATTAATACTGAAATCCCCACAAAGATTCATATACTCTTTAAAAATGCATGCAAATTTCTTCCAAATTAGAGAAAAGTCATGCAGCAGGAAAGGAGAAAGGGTCACCCATAATCTCACCACTGCTAATGTTCGTAGCATCTCAGTAGTGTTAGGAGGCTGCTTTTTCCCTTCCTCCCTCTCTCTGAAGTATTCACACTACTTCACACAGGCTTCACCCGACATCTACCTTGAACTTATTAAATGTACAACAAATGTTTAATTAAATTTTGAGGAAAGTGAGAGCAAGCTCAGCCAGCCAGAGCAACAGGACGATGGTGGCATTTCCAAAAGAGACTCCCTCAGATTGGGCAGTCAAGCCCTTCCTTCTTGGCCCCTGCTCCTTCCAGCTGGAAGTCTAGCCAAGATTTCTCCACTCTGAAGCCCATGGTTCTGTCATTAGCCCCAGTAGGCACTGTCTCAACTGTATTGCTCTGGTGCATAGGTAAGATCTCATGGCGTGTATTCAACACTAATTTGAAATAATAATTCACTGTTATTTAGCATCAAGAACAGAGGAGTAGCCATAAACTGAATCTGAGCTATGCTTTACAGCCCTTTTTATGATCATTCAGTTTCCAAATCTGTTAGTTGCCAATGCTGCATACATTTCTGCCACTATATCCAAGGGAGGCAGACCCAGTCATTGCCAAACTCCCTCAAACTCCACTTCTTCAAGCACAGGCTGTGAGCCAGAAAAGCTGAGTCCTGTGGCTGATTGGCCTTTGGCTGCCCTGTCCTGTGGGAGCTGGATGGTGAGGGAGGTGTTGTGGCCCCAGAAGGGAGGACCAGATACCTGCAGAGCCTGCTCCCACTTCTCAGGTGCTCTGGGGACCAGCCAGTGCTTCTCTGAGGATTCAGAAGCCTCTGAGGGGAGGTGCTGGGCAAGCACAGGATGCTGGGGTGTTCTCTCAGGGCAAGTCAGGGGAAAGGGCCCTGCCAGGGCTGGGGCGCA